TGCTAGCATATTTCGAAATCTTGGTGTTAATATAAAAAATGAGTGACTATTGCAATTATTCAAATCTGTATTTCGATTTTAATAGGAATTAGTTACTAAACTGCAGAAGTTGATGAGTGATTCATGATTTCGTTTCTATTCTCTCAAATCATTTTAATAGCATATTTCGAAATCTTGATGTCAATATTAAGAATGAGTGACTATTGCAATTATTTGAACCTACATTTCGACTTCAATAGGAATTAATTACTGAACTGCGAAAGTTGATGAGCGCTTCTTATCTCTCAAATAATTTTGCAAATATTTCTATACCTTAGAGTCAATATAAAAAATGACTGACTATTGCAATTAATAAAATCAAACACACATATTTCAACTTCCCCTAAATATTTTCTAAAAATCGACTGGTTACAATTTTCCACATTGCCCCATTCCATTTGAAAGTTGCCGTTCGCCCTTTACCTAATTCTCATTCCTACACCTTGAATAAGGTGGATCTGATGGAATAAGGCAGGGGATCAACATAGTTTAACATATTTCTCTGAGGAACGGCACGTGAAGGCGGATTGCCGGTTGGCCGTGTTCCAGGTTTCCTGAGAACCCGTCCATACCCGGACAGGCAGCCGGGGTCTGGCGGGAATCTGGCTTTGAAGGATATCGCAATGGGACTGCGATGGGTGCGTGAAAACATTGCCGCGTTCGGCGGCGACCCGACGAAAATCACGCTCATTGGACACGATACCGGCGCGGCTCTAGTGAACCTTCTTCTACTCGCTCCATACGGCAAAGGTGAGTCACATTTCATTCATATTTCATTGATATTCCATTCATATTTGATGAGACTCACGAAATACGAACTGCACTTATTTACTTGTACCTGCGAGTCCCGAACGCCTAGACATATGGCCTCTCAAGTTGCCTACGTGCTATTTACTCTTACACGAAGTAATTTGAATTTATATTACAAATATTTAGTTCATACTAATTACGGTGTACTAGTCTCTCCGTTGGTTTCGAAGCTCCACCGAAAGACAAATTGGGTGGTTTATGAAGAACTGTAGAATAACGCGGGAAACATGGATGAAAATCGATCTGGAATAGAGCAGAAATATCGCTGTCGGCCGCGATTAGGGAATGATCCAGCCCCGTCCGACACTCGATAGATTAATCGGCGAGAGATTAGCCGGGTGAAACCGGCCGAAACGACAATCGCGATAGTGGAACATCTCGCGAGGACAAATGGAAAAAAAAAAAACAGTGAGTGGAGCAGAGAACTAAGCGGGGGAGGAAGGTAGGGGAGGAGGCGAGGGTGGAAAAAAATCGGTCGCCCATTGATCTCGCATGGTCGGTGACAAATTGCGTGGCTTCGTTTTATTCCTGGAGAACCGAGAATGTATTTTTTATTGGGGCCGGCACTCCGTCCCGGCTAGATTGAGCGTTCTACTTTTTTGAGTTTTGCCCCGGATTTCTAACTCGCCTCGATTTCTACGTTGACGGCCTTGCGAACATTTTTTTCTATATCGTTGCTCGGAAATTTCAGATTTCGACGGCCTTGCGAACATTTTTTTCTATATCGTTGCTCAGAAAAAATACAGATTCGTTGAATCATTTTATTCATTTCTCAAAAATTATTAGCTTCTAATTTCATATTCCGAATTTTTAAGTAAATATGAATTACATCTGTTAAAAATCTGTTTGTTACACTCTGGACAGAAACGAGGATGGCCGAGAATGTATGATTATTAAAATTATTCCGTGTAAGAGTAGCCGTGTTGAAGATGTTTCAAAATAGATAGAGAGCGCCGGCCGACAAAAGAGACGGGCTTCTGGTTTTAATGGCTAGAAAAATATACTCACTGCTCGAGTGCAATATAAATATTCGTGTTATGTAATATTATTACGTCGAGGGTAGCGCGGCGGAGCGCGTAGAAACATTAATTATGCTTTGAGGTGACGCTGGCCTCTGTAATAAAGCCGAATTAGTTGGTAGTCAACGAATAATTAGGGTGAGCACCTCCGGTGTGTTCCGGTTATTCGCTTCGCTCGAGATACCTTTGGTATCTCTTCACCCATGAGAGCAAAGACTCCCTCGAACTCCTCATTAATGTTAAAACACTGAACATTGATTTCATTATCATTACCTTTGTTATTCTGTTATCTATATTCTCCCTCTGCTGCTATTTAAATCAAATTTTATTACCTTATTTTCGCGACATTATTTATTCCTACCGATTCTTATAATTAGCAGTCCAGAATTATTTACACATTCTAATTTAACAATTTATAATATAATAAAATTCTTAATAAAATTTCTTTTTATTTTTAATTCTAATATAATGAATTATTATGA